GAGGTCGCATCTCCTCTGAACTCCATTCTTGCATCTGGAGTTGCTAATCGGACAAGAAATAATGAACTAAGCACTTAAAAGAGGAAGTCTTGGCCTGGATACCAGCTGGCACCTTTGATCCAAGAAAACATTGTCCCTTAACCCTCGAGGCTATGGCCGATAGCAGACATACTCCAGAAATAGCTGAAAACATGGTACTGTATCTGCTAAATAGGCAGTATAAAAATGATTGTAACAAACTGAATACTGTTTCCTTTCAGACGACAGCGTCCTGAGAAGGCTATCGGTTTGCATTTGCAACTCTCAGTAGCACTGCTCTGCCTCCACCTCAGCTTCCTGCTGGGCAGCTTCTGGGTGTGGCAGCTGAAGGAGGGTGAGGAGGGCTGGGTGTGCGGGGGTCTGGGTCTCTTCTTACACTGGTCGCTGCTGGCCACTGTTTGCTGGATGGCTCTGGAAGGATTCCATCTCTATCTCCTGTTGGTCCGCGTCTTCAACATCTACGTCAGGAGATACCTGCTGAAGCTCAGCCTGGTTGGATGGGGTGAGTCTGTGTTTCTGTCGTCTGAAAGTTGAATTTGGTATTAAGGCTGAAACCGTATGTTCAATTTTTTGAGTGTAAGGGACTAATGGCGCGTTTCCACTGCAGCGCGGAGCTCGCTTTAAGCGTGCCGAGCCGCGCGGGGCCCGTTTTTGGTTGCGTTTCCACTTGACAACAAGATGAACATATTTGACCGTGATTTAATTGTAATACACGTTTCAAAATGATGCCGAAGTAACAACATACTGATACCGGTTAGTAAAAACCATGAATTAATGCTTTGACAAGTCTGCAGACAGACGAAAAACACATTTAAAATGCGTGTTTTCTAAATGGAGATTGGCTAAGCTAACGTTGTATATGCTCCGACCGTCCACACTCACAACAACGGCCTATACAGACATAAATAAACCAGTGACTGTATTCGCCATGACACAGACAGTCTGTGGTTTGTACTTGTTTAATTTTGTCTAGTTTCTGAACAGATATGAGGAGCTGTGAGCTCTGAGTGCTAACAGCTAACGGCTGAGTTGTTTTTCTGGGGTTCTCATTGAAGATGACGTCACGGCTCCGCCTACACTGCGTTACTATAGATACTACCCCAGTTCCTAAACTGTAATGGAAATGCGCCATAAAGTGAGCCAGTCCTAACGAGGCCTAGCCATACCGAGCGAGGCCGTGTAGTGGAAATGTGCCATAAGGGGAACACCAGTTTTTATATTGGTCCATTTGGTACTACAAAGCCAGAGCGCAGCAAAAATACGGTCCAGGGAACAATACTGAAGTGAATAAGTACAAAAAAACTGCTAAATCAAAATACTCTCTGTAAACAGCTCATGATATGTAAATACAAGCATATACTGTATAGTCATATTTCTGTCTACCTGGTATATCTTCAAATCAATCTTTGGCAACAGCTAAATATCTCGGCTTATGATGTTGTTCATTACACAATCTTACTAAAACCCCTCTTATAGAGTACAGTGTAAGGCAAATTCTCTGGAGAACCTCTTTCCAAAACCTTTCAACAGTATAACATTTCCAAAACATGAACCTCTTTTTAGATGAGCATTTCTGCCCAATCCACCACCACCTATTGGCAGTTCATGAGACTGCATGTTTTCAACTGAGTTAGATTCAGTGAGACATTGTTGGAGATAGACTGAGCTCTTCTCAAGAACTCACATCTTAGATCCATAACCCAGGCCCTTTTCAGAGCTGGAAAATGCAACAATTCCTTATTAATAACATATGAATTATTTATACATATTCTTTTGTATTTTGACTGAAAAGAATCTCATGAACATGAATCCAAAAAGGAGGTGTGTTCTGTTCTTCTGTTCACGGTTTGTTGAAGTAACTTCTGTATGTGTTGTGTCTTTATGCAGGTATTCCTACACTGATTGCAGGGGTTTGTGGGATTTCAGGTGTTTATGGCAAATACACTTTGAAAATAATTGATGCCACCAACCCCAATACAACATCACAGATGTAAGAAACCAAGATTTTGTGATATTAAATATTTAACCACGCGGGAGGTTGGAAGCAAAACGTTTTTATTCTCAACACGTTATTTGGAAATAATTGATTTTCTTTTTTTATTAACTTGCAGATGCTGGATGAGCAGCCAGTTCCCACAGATGCTTTTAGTCAGCTACGTCACTACCATGGCCTTCCCTTGCCTGGTTATACTGTGTAATTTCTGCATGCTGGGGTTGGTGGTGTTTAAGCTGTGGAGGCTAAGGGCGGGCGGAGGCAGCAGTGGCTGGAAGAAGATGAACAGAGAGAAAGGGATTAGGTTATGGAAGGACTGTGCCACGGTGCTGGGCCTCAGCTGTGTGCTGGGCTTACCCTGGGGGTTAGCTGGGACCACCTACATCTCCCTCTCTGGGATCTACCTGTTCACCATACTAAACTCCTTGCAGGGTCAGTATTTGCAGATCTTCATATAAAGTATCCATTGTGCTTTTAACAGTATGGTAAGCCTTTTCTTTCTCCTTCTCAGGTTTGTTTATGTTCCTGTGGTCCGTAGCTTTGACCCGCAAGCCTCGAACTGATGATAACTCCTCAAGCAGAGACCCTTCCTCTCAGAAAGTGATGACTACCAGTTTCAATAACTGATATTTAAAGCTATAAATGTATTATATTCCTATCTATATGCAGTTAAAAGATAACTGACTATATCTTATCAGTCGTGCAAATGAATCAGATTAAGATTGCATTGACAAATATGCATAATGAATAATAACTCATTGTAATTATATCACTGCTGAATAAAAAATACAAAAAGTGAGCATGTCATGTTCAGGAAGACAACTTGCCAGTGCCTAGGCATTATAAGACAACGCGTTTTCTGTGGATAGATGTTTCTTCTCATTTTCTTTTAAGTCATATTTGCTTCTTTTTGGAAATATCAGTTTATTCAGTTATTGCATAGGGAATTTTGCTTGTTAAAGTTGATTTAAAAGACACAGTTATATAAGTTTACCGGTCAGAGAGCAGTTAAATAAAGGTAGATTTTGCACTGTCATAAGCTCCATTTTGACTCTGTGGCTCTCTGTTTCTTGTAAGGTTAGCATTGCTATTGGTCAATGGTTCAAAGTTCACCCAAGCTGTTGTAGGTTTCATTTGAATCTGCAAAACAGATGTCAAAGGCCATAACACAGAGTCATTAGCTTAGCGCGCCCCCTGACCCTAACACTCCATGTTTGCAGGTTTAAATGTGTGTTTCCTCCTGTGTGTGTACAGGTCTTTCCTATAGGTTCATTTGTTTTGTGTAAAATCATTGTGTTCTTTGTTTTGTGAAATGTCAGTGTTTGTCAGGTTGTTTGCTTTTGTCTTTTTGTTCAGTCATGTGATGAGATTTCTGCTCTGTGTTACTAATGTTGCTTTGCAAATCAGGGCAGCTTAACCTCAGGGCTAAAAAATATACTGATTGGCCTGGAGGTGTTTGCGAGCTTTAAAAAGTTTTTTTTTTCAAACAGGATACAAAATACCTCAGACAGCTCTTGCAGGAACACCTACAAATGCACTAAAACAAAGGCAATGTGGATGTTACAGTTACAGATTAGCGCCATCTGATGGCTATCCAAGGTCTATAAAACATGGAAACAACAGTGGTTGTTACATAGGAAATACAACCCCATAAACTAAAACCCTAAATGAAAACAAAAATATTCCATATAAAAAATACCATCGAAAAAGTAACATAAAAACAAACACACTTGTAAATAACTTGTAGCACTTTCTATAAAGACCAAGTCTATATTGCATTATATTTTATAGTGAATTAAAATTCATTAACTGCATAAAACCTGTTGACTCTAAAGACAAATAAGGCTTTCTGATGCCTTTTATCAAGAGTCAGACACAATAGTGACTTAAATGTAGAAGTTGACTGATTGGGCTTAGTTATAATACATCATGACTACCTTCACTCACATATACGCACGTCAACAATCAACTTAACTATTAAAGACTCATAGGATGCTTTAATATTTCATGCAGTATCATAAGTTATTGTTATGTACTGCTAATTACATATTGATGCATCTATAATAAGATCCATAACGTGTCATTGTTGGTGGCGTAGAGTGTTATGCATTTACATTCTTTATTTTTAATATGCTCCATAAAACGTAAATATTAAGTAAAACACCACTTCACTTATGATGCAGCATCTAGAACAGGGGTGTCCAAACTACGGCCCGGGGGCCAAATGTGGCCCGCGGTCCATTTTTTTATCGAACCTCAGAAAATGTAATAATTATAATTAAATATGGCCCACAAATGAAACTTGTGCTTGTCATATATTGTACTAATTAAATATATATGTACAAATATATATCACAGAATTCATGTATGCCCACTTTTCAAATAAATCCAATCAATTAAAGTTGGAAACATTTTCAAACTAATCTTAGTTCATATACCAATCCCAATCACTTATTTGCAGGACAAATCTTTTTATAAGCAATCTGAAGCTTCTGTTTTAAGCCATGAGCTGCAAACTAAATAAATCAAACACTATGGAGAGCTGTGATGAAGGCTGTTGTGTTTCTTACAGCATTTTCAAGTATCAAGCTTAATTTACCTACATTTGATTGATTTTGCTTACTTATAACTTAGCATATGAGGCAAAATACCTCACCTCTAGTGAGTGGCCCAGCCCTTCTTATATGTTTCTGTATGTGGCCCTCGGTGAAAAAAGTTTGGACACCCCTGATCTAGAATTTAAAAAAGACTTTCATGGTCTTTAGTTTATGTTTTAAATTATTATATAAGGTTATAAGCAGTACACTTTCAGGAAAGCAAATTGGTTTGCAGTCCATCCCATATTATGGATGTTAAACATTCCTATAAATACAATTGTACAATACAAATAAACCAATATCTTTCATTTCGAGGAATATTTAATATTATTATCCTGATGACGTTTGTGATACCCGGAAATAAAGGCGGGGCTATCCCCTGTTTCTCTCCTCCTCCCTGCCAGACACAAACTCAGACAGAGGGACAACATGGATCCGAACACGACCATCCTGCGAGTCAAGAGGAAAAGGGGGACCGACCCCGCAGATGCGCTGCTGCTGGCATGTAAACGTATCCGACCGGAGACGTCTCAAAGCTCAGGCGAGACGGTACCGGAGCCGAATGAAGCCGAGGTGGAGAACTCTGTCTTCAAACTCGTGGCGACGGTGGCGACACAGGTGAGAGGCCCGCTGCTAGTAGCTAACCTAGCGCTGTAGGCTAACGTCAACGCAGCTGCCGGGGAAACCGAATATAAACGTTAATAAGCGTGTCGGTATAAGCGTTCAGACATAGTAGATTTATCTAATACAGGACAAATAATAAAAAAAAAACTACAATGTTGGTACTTGCTGGAAAAACAACGCGCCTTCTATGCTATTTGTTGGTAGCATGATACACAGTTAAGGCAGCGCTTAGCATTAGCCTTACATCAGACCCAAATTACATTAGCCTCCTCAACCGTTAGCTCACTTTGTTGATGTTAAATGAAGTTGTGACGTATTTACAGGCCTTGAAAAATTACATGACATCAGTCGAAGCTGTCGTAGTAGAATAATTAATTTGAATACACAATGTCAAACATGTATCTCATCCATCACATAAGCTAAGTAACATTAGCTTAATTGGTAAACATATTTTGGTATATTACAAGGTCTGCACTTTTTTGTTGTAATGTTATTACAAGTGAAGTATATTTCTGCTTTTTACTTGTATAGCAACATGCTAACTGGTCAGTGTGGTTCTGCTCACTGACATTTTGAGAAAGTGTGTGTTCTTGGTGATGTAGTGAGGATTGAGTTTGGTGAAATGTGTTGATACCTTCCATTTCCTTAAACTTCTAGGCAGAAAAGTCACATTTCTTTGTATTTCCGGGTTTAATATCTGTAAATTCTCACCTTTTGTCCTCTTCACCAGGATGCTCCGGTGCAGACACAGGTGCGACAGGCTTTGGCTCGGCCCCGCATGGCCCACGCTCTGCGGCCCTCTGCTGCCAGTACACAGCGGATACTGGGGGACCTGCGGAGCACGAAGTGGAGCACCCGGAGGGAGGAACGCTACAGGATACTCTCCAGCCACCGCACAGGGCTGCCGGCCCCAGCAGAGCAGCAAGCACCCCTGACGGAAGCTTCAGAGGGCGGAGAGGATTCTGGGAAAGACCAGGACAAATGTCTGGGTCTTGGTGCCATCCAGGTGGTCGACCTCCTTCATGAGGATGACGAGAACCAGGACAAATCTTCTGGCAAGGTGAGTTGAACTGTATTTTAGCTGGCAACAAAGCTTAAATAATTAAACACAAAAGAAAACCTCTGACTATATATATATATATATATATATATATATATATATATATATATATATATATATATATATATATATATATATATATATCTATCAGGGTTTCCGTTAGCCGGTAATTACCGTTTTTTTTTAGCTGGTAAAATTAATTAAAAACCGGTAATTTCAAAATGTCCGGTAATAATTAGGGATGCTCCGATCGATTGGCCGCCGATCATTATCGGCAGATATTCACTCTTAATAGTTTGATCGGTGCTCTCTATAAAGGCCGATCAGGAGAGCTGGATCTGATCGATATGGACATAAACGCGAGTGAAGTATAACCGGACGAGAGAGAGAGAGAGAGAGAGAGATCAGAGATCAGCTGCTGAGTCTGACGGAGACACGCAGCTCTGCATGATCACCTGAAGCCCCGCCCACTGTTTAGCGAGCTCCATGAGATTCTGGGTGTTTCTCAATGTCGAGGAAGGCTGCTCCAGAGCCACTATTTCAAGCATACTACGTCATGGAGTGCCGCCGAACGACTGTTCCAATGGCCAGCATACTTCGAATTCTACCGAGGCCGGCGTACTTCGTAGCGAGAAATCTAGTCTGGCCAATCCAAGACTTCGATGCTGAAGGGCCAATGGATCTATGGTGGGGATCAGCACAAAGGTCAAGGAAACCCACATTTGAAAGGGAGACAACGGATGACCAAGAAACTAGTGACTTGCTCAATTCATTTGTGAGGGATCTGTGAAGAACTTTTTTTTAATCTCTCTAAAAAGGTCAAATGTCACTTGTTTTGCATCAATCTTGATACAGGGTACTTATTATATGTTATAGTTTGGATTCCTAAAGCCTTTAGTCTACTAACCCATCATTCAAGGGTGGTTTTCACTATAAGTAATGGGGTTTTTTTGGACGGAAACTATCATTTACATTTGTTTTACTATGTTCAATCTGAATTTACTTTTAAAATAAAAAGTTCTATATTGATTCTGACTTTTCTACATCCAACTCACAGGTGTATCATTGCTTTGAGAAAAAATATTATTAATTTACCCCTTTTAGAAGTGAAGATATAGTCAATTGTTCTGGGAATGTCATTTTCGAGCCTGAGGCCTGAAAAACAGGCTCGGGGGTTAACACACAGATTTAATTGGCAGACCTTCAAAACTTAGCCCCATATTATTCAGTAATGGAGTATGAACAACCCTAGACTTGTGTAGTGCACCATGTGTTGAAGCACATTTCCCTAGAGGCCAATGAGTACATGCTCATGTGAGGCCATTGGCCCCAAAAATGATTTCTGTAAATCAACATATCATTTTAATTAATTGAATTTTAATCATAATTCAACATGCCAGCACTTGAATAGACCTCACTGAAATAAACTATGCTGTAAACTGTGAACATTTGTGGCTGAAAAAGCTGAATATTTTATTAGCTGAATGGTAGCTGCTTTTAGCTACAAAAAAGTAAGTGTGTTGCTGAACTTGCAGAAAAGTGAAATGATTTGAATCAAATTGTTACAGCTCAAATGCATTGCAATGACTTCCATGTTAATAAAAGACTTTAAAAAGCTGAATATTTCAAAAAGTATAAAACCTTTTTAAAAAGTTGAAGGTTTCCCATCGATTCCTGAAAAGGCTGAATAGTTTAATATTTGAATGGTTTCTGTAGCTGAAGAGTTATGGAGAGCCAAAGTATTGGCTGAAATAATAATAAGGGGATTAAAGATTTGAAGAACTATAGTGCCACTAAGTCCTAAGAGTTGTAAAAGGTGCAAAATAGCCGAATCCAATCTTCCCTCCATTATACTCCATTTTATGAATGTCAATAATCCAGGATAAGATGCCCATCAACAGTGAAAGTTCATAACAAAAATCTTCAATACATTTTCAAAGTTAATTACTTTAAACGGTAACATTTAACAACTTATTAAATGAAAGGATTTGTTTGAGGATCAAGAATAGATGTGTTTTTGTGACATATGGTAAAAAGAAAATCCTTCAATTGCATAAATTACTAACTGCCTTCGTTCATCTGTTAGTTTATCATTCAAATAATTAGTTGACGATGCTAATATTGACGACCTGTGTAGTGATTTATTTTGTCTCTTTGTATTTCTAAAGACCCTGTCCTCAGACCCAGAGGCGATCCTGTGTAACAACACCAAGATGCTGCGGGAGCGCCTGAGCATCGCTGGAGATAAAGTGGGGGGGGGAGCACCGCGAGCAGGAGGACGACTACGTGTATGACCTGTACTACCAGGAAACGGTGACGGCAGGGTGGATCCAGGACATCCTGTCCGTCAGGGCCTACGCCGACGAGGGAGAACTGGTGTGTGTGGATGGATGGACGGACAGATGAATGAGTGCTGAACTCGCAGTGAGTGAATGAAGACATGGGTGAAGTAGAGAGTAGACATGGTGAGGCTTCACACCTGCTATCAAACTGTTATGTGAAGAAACAGGAGGGTCAGCTGACCGTCTCTGCCTACCCTGCAGTCAGCTTACATGCAACTTGCTCTATCAAAATCAGTCACATTCTTCCTAAAATCATACATTGTAGGTAATGAGCTGACGCCTCTCCAAAGTGACTTGCATACACTTTAAAGCTGTACAGCCTATAAGAGCCATTTGGGGTTACGTATCTTGCCCAAGGACACTTCATGGTGGCGGCTGGAGATGGGGTTGAACCTGTGATCTGATTGGTATGACCGGAAAAGATGATTTACTGAAGAAAAAATATATACATTTTGTTTTTGTTTTCCAAAATCTAAGCAAAGTATGTCGCATAATCTGATGTCTATCACAGAACAAACCATTATGAGGAAAAAGGCCTTCAAATGATTAACCAGAGCTTTTTAAAGAGTGGGCTCCAGGCTTAGTACTTCCCTCTAATAGGACCACAGTTTGTTTAGTTATGATTCTGAATTCTTTGTTGGTCTATAACAAACTGGCTAGCAGGCTGTCCCTTTCCATTATGTTCAAAAGTCTTATTGTTCACATCCATTATATTGATTAGGCTGACACGTTTTTAAGCTAGAAGCATCGTAGACGAGGGTGTTTGTTTGTTGTTTACTGAAATGATTGAAGGTCGCTAGGAAGAAAGTTGGTGAGCTGCAAACATATTTTCATTGTCTGATAATGTCGATAACAGTTAAATATTCTCGTTTAAAATCAACCAACAAAAATCTTTTTCTCGGGATGAGCCGTTGTATCCGAGTGATTTTGATAGGGCGGGTCACATGTTTGCTGAAGTGAAATGCTACTTTTGGCCAGTCTGTAGCTTTTTGAAAAGCTGTTGGTCCACATGTTGCTTTTCTCATAAGGGACCAGCATATGGCAGAAACTGCATGCACCTCAATATTCATAAAGCCTTCAGAAAGAAGCATGCTCAACTGTAGGTGACAAGTCCTGCATTCTCATTTGGCCCAAAACATTAGCAGGATCGTTTTTTTATAAAAGCTTCATATACATTTCTTAGAATATTAATTACAAAGAGACTGTCCAAAATTGTTAATTTAGTTGAATGGCTAATTCGATTAATTTGTTTATCTTTAAATGTTATTATTACACATTATGGACAATATAACCAAAATGAGAGCATTGTCTTGCTTAATTAGTTTAAAATATTTTAAGTCCATATTATTACACACAATTTGGTAAGGAGAAAGAAGCCAATAGTGAATAGACTATGTATAAACTGCTTGTTATCGCAGGTTCCTGACCAAGTGGTGCATGAAGAGGAGGTGTATGAAGATGAGGATGATGAGAACGAGGAAGGCAACTGGAGGAACGACTACCCCGATGAGGGCAGTGACGCAGACAGCGACCGGGAGGAGCGCTATGGTGGTACGGAGTTCTGCAGTCATTAATGTGTCAGTTATCACGGGCTCTTTCTTAACCCTTCATTACCAAAGCCCTCATTTCCTTTTTCAAAATGGTCGTCTGATCTGGTATCAAAGTAGATCAACATCACAGTGAGTTGATATCACAATACAGTCATTGTTCTGTAACTTTAGTGAATTAGTATATATATTTTTTTTATGTAGAATTCCCAGTAATAACAAGCCCCTGCCCCACACCAGGCGTTTAGGAGTTATTTTCTCTTCTTTTCTTTTTTTAAGATAATGTTTAATTTTCCTGTTTGTTTACACTCTGATATTTTAGTTTGAAAAACCCCTCCCTTGTTAACTCACCTGTGCAGTTACTTATCAAAGATATGTGCCAACCTTTGTTGGTTTAGCTTGTCATTTTAAACCCAAGTGTTGTGGCTTGTTACATCAGATCCTTGTCTAATGTGTGCAGGTTACGCGGAGGATGAGCACTCGTACAGCCGGAGGAGCTGGGGGCTCTACCAAAGGGAGGTGGCGCAGGAGCTGCGGGGTGAAGATGACAACGAGGATGATGATGGAGACAAATATAATTCCGATTGATCTAACGCGCACCTGTCTGTGGATCTTCCCAACGCCCTCTCCACAAATATCACCAAACTCCAGACCTCTGTGTAGCTGAGAGTGGGGGGGGAACACACTTTAAAGAAACCAGGACATAGGTATTAACGTGTAGCAATACTTGTGTAGCACCAACCAGGTTTCAATTGGCTGGAAACCTCCTCATAACTTAACAAAAAGTACATTTCATATGCAAATGCAAAAAAGCTCCCACAATGGAGTCATTCAGATCTATACATATATCAAGTATTTTTCATGGGAACCCCCCCCCCCCCCCCTACCTCTCCTACACAGAGGGTGGAGCAGTGTGCGTTATTTCCTGGAGGATCCAGAGTGTCTTTTTCTCTTTTTTTTTAACTGGTGGAGTGAACTTGTGTGTGGGTGTTTGTCCAATGTGGATGTGTGTTAAACTGTTGCACATTAGTGTGATATGCCTTGTATGCTTTGTGCTGTTCACACTGTGTAAGTGAGATGTGTCGGGCCGCGCGTGGTTGCAGTTTAGGGTGCAGCGTTCTGTGCATGGTAGTGTGTGTGTAGGTATAACTGTGTGTTAGAATTTTCTGCATAATGTGAAAGCGTGACTCATATGTTTTGTTGTGGGTGTGTGAGATGGTTCAGAAATTCCCCCTTGAAGCTCAGATTGCTTGGATGCTTGTTGAATTTAATTTTTTGTAAATATGTAGATGTGTATAAAAAGAAAGCTTTCAAATAAACTTTAAACATCTCGGTGTCAATTTTTCCTACATGAAAAAACACAATTCAAACCTTTTTAAAAGAGCAAAATCCAATGAAAGTATCCAATCCAATAATCTGCTACATTTTATGTTTCAATAAAATGACATTTTCCCAGCATGCTCAGCGTGAAGGTGCTGATCTGACGAGCTGTTTGGTCTCTCTTTCCTGATGCAGAGATGCTGTTTTCTTTTTAGAATCAATTTATATTTACTTGAAGGCAGGCGAGCCGGATTCATTTTAGAAGTGCGTGTGTATGGCCCAATCCCAAACCACGCCCTACCCCTACACACCCTCCGTGACGGAGTGAACTCCGTGGAGTGACACATGAGGCTCCCTCCTGTCAGATGGAGGGAGGTAAATAGCGGCAAGCTTTGGGACAAACTCCCCTCTCCGGCAGAAACAGGAAATGCCGTAACTATGTAACAACGGTTTCAAATCAGCATCTCTGACACATGTAAATTAATAACTCAAATAAAACTCCAAACATCTTTAATTGTGTTACTTTTTTTTTAAGCTCTTTTAGTTTTAAACCTGATGTTTATAAGCTTCTTAGTTTTTGCAACAGTCTGTAAATACAGAACTTTATATTAAAATGCACACATTTACCTTTTTCTAGACAAAACACAGGTATGATCCTAAGTAAAAAAAATATGAGGTTAACATCGCAGTTTATCAGTGGATGTTTGCTGGAACTACTTGTAAAGTAGTCTCCGTCAGAGACAACTGTTCATGCCCGCCTGTCAGCCTTCCATCTGTGCACAAACTTATCTCGTGCCCTCATTGGTCATGTGCGCGTTCGTGTGTGTTGGAGGGGCTCTGTAAGGAACATAGACTGTATATATAAAGGTAAGGAAGTGGCAGATTTTTTCCGGTTGTGTATTTTCAAATTCTTGCGCACTCGAGCTGGTTTCTCCAAAATTATAGGCTACCCCACCTTTAAGTATTTCACTTGTACATCATTGTGAGGTACTTCAGTATTTCCATTCCATATTGTACTCTTTATACAATGCATTTATTTGACATCATTAGTTGCTCTTCAGATTATGCAAATCCATTTATTATTGAGCCACCTAGCAGTACGGTCTTTAAAATGAGCTGCAGCATTAAAGTAAGGAACACATTGTCTTAATCATTTATAACTCTATATGCTTCTGATGTAGGCCTTTTATCTATATATAATACTTATTTCAAGATTATTTTAAAGCTAATACCTTTGTAACTTTACTGTGAAAGCAGGACTTTTACTTTTAGCATTTTATCTTTGCTGTATATAAGTATTTGCTGTGAATGCAGCTGTAAAGGCGTTGAATATCGCTATACAAAAAATAATAACTTGCGTTATTCAAGGTCATGTATAATGTTTTTCAGGCTTGAGAGTAACATGTGATCATGTTCTCATCCAAGCTTTAAAGAAGGCTTAGTCAAATGTGATAGTAAACTGCAGATACACATTTTGTCTCATGTAATTTAATGCAAATCAACGCTTCACCTCACTTAAAAGGGTTACCTCACCAATAATATAACGTATTCCTCATGCAGTATCAACACTCATTCCTCTTCAGTAATGTCATATTATTTTTATTTGATTTATTTTATATTTATGTATCCACCGTTTGTACTTTTAACCCTTCTCTTGCGTTTCGGGTCAAAAGTGACAGAGTGACTTTGTTTTTGATCATAAATATTGTGTTTTTCATCCAATTGCCTCAAGACCTTATGTTATCCTCCACACTAGGCCTCTGAACATATACAATTGATGATCACCACTTGCATTGATTTTTTTAGTGATTTATTCAACAGTGAAACACCCATGATGTTTTCGGTCAGAATTATGTTCATCCTGCAGATGGAAAACATCTCCATACACACACACACACACACACACTTCTTATGCTTATGTCCCCCCACACCTTCCAGACAAAACAATTTACTCTAAATTACGGGAACCTCTCCCTTTCTCACGCTCTATGATACAATGTATCATATCTTCTCACAGGTGAGAGCTCTGTGCCCCTCGAGAAAGAAAAACCTCTCACTTTCTCGCAGTAAATGCCCCTCCATTACTGTCTCTCATGCAGTTATATTTGTGCCTTGCTCACATTTGACTCATTGACACAATGAGTAGGCGACCGATTAGGCAATTTTCTGTCAGAGAGGCTCTGGACAAAATGTTTTGAACCAGATGAAGAGGAGATTGAACCAGACATAGAGGACGATGTCTCAGAAATGGAACACAACAGCGATCCAGACTATGAGCCTGACCAACAGTCAACAGACCAGGAAGAGGCCCCTGAGGGAGAGGCTCCTGAGGGAGAGGAGCCCTGAATATTTATTTTTCTCTAAATGTTCATTGAGGAAAACAGTATCAGTGTCTTATTTTATATTCATCACAGTGAATGCAGTGAATGCTGAACTTGATGGGCCCACCGGTGGGTCCGGACCATATACTACGGTGGCCGGCAGGTGCAAACGCTGCACAACGGCCCAAAACGCATACATGAGCAGGAAACACCTGCAAATAATGAAATGAAAAACAAACAAACCCTGAAAACAAATACAACAGATAAACGCTGCATTTACAGAAATGATGCAAACTAAATACAACACACAAACCCCGAAAACAAACGCAACAGAAAAACGCTGCAAATACCAAAACGATATGCAAAGTCCAAAGCACATACAAATCCCAAAACACATTTTTAAAAAAAACATACCGGAAGTGCTCCAGGCCTCTAGGGGGCGCGCTATGTGGTACAGATTGATGTATGACAAGACATAGAGAGAACAAACAAGAGTGATGGAAATCGGAGGAAAGAAAGTTCATTTAAGTGGAGAAAGATATAAGAAGGTACGTTTTGTTTTGATACATAGAGCGTCATATTTATATAGCTAGCGTTAGCGTGCCTAACTACTACACCAGCTGAGGAGAGGAGAGCTTCACGTGAAGAGAAGATAAAGTGAGGGAAGAACATTGTTAAAAGAGATGACAAATCAAGTGCTGGCAAATAACACGGGCCATAGTGAGTACCGCAGAAAAAGGACATTTGAATTATTAGCAGTTTGTTTATATGTTTGTATTTGTGTATACAGTAGATGTTGCAACTATACAGAGCTTTAGCAATTGCCTGTAACTATGGTCATGCTAATAAAGCTATTGAATTGAATTGAGAGAGAGAGAGAGAGAGAGAGAGAGAGAGAGAGAGAGAGAGAGAGAGAGAGAGAGAGAGAGAGAGAGAGAGAGAGAGAGAGAGAGAGAGAGAGAGAGAGAGAGAGAGAGAGAGAAGATAGAGAGAGAGAGAGAGAGAGAGAGAGAGAGAGAGAGAGAGAGAGAGAGAGATAGAG